TACGAACTCTTAGTATACTAACTTTTTAGTTCGCCTTGCAAATTATAAGAAAATTACCTCTGAGGATAAAGTTGAAATCTATAATATGATGATCTGGTATACCGAGATTCGTCGAGTACTTCACCAGGTCATGAAGATGAAGATGACATAGATTCAACACTTCTCACTAAAGGGGACATTATAGAGTTCAAAGTATGTAGTGAGGTGTTGAATTACAGTTAGGCCTCGTTAGTGTTGAAGTCATTGTGTTGTATTTTGAAGTATGTATTACATAAGGCATAATTAGAGGTCAAAGCTTACACGTCTAGTCCTAATGTATTTCTTGTACGCGTCTATTACTCCTTATAAATAGGGGTATGTATAGGAGTTGAGGGGACTTTTGGTGAGTGTGAGAACTTTACTCTATCTATACTCTTGTATTAATTCAGACATAATCAAAGAGACAACAATATTGTATTTACATCATTCATCTTAACGTTTTCAGTTCTTGATTTCATTCATAATACTTAATTCAGACAAACTACAACACTAAACTGCTACTCGATTATGTACACTGCCTATCGTATGTTAGTTTTTGTCTAGATTTGTTTGATTAAAACTAGTATATATATATATATATATATATATATATATATATATATATATATGTATATATATATCACGTATCAAGTTTTTTGGTGTTGTTACTGAGGAACGATTCAATAATAGTTAATTTTATTTGCTAATTTATATCGGTCCTTTGTGTGGGATTTTTATCTTTTAAAGTTCCAAGTTTTTTGTTTAAAAATTTTATTTTCATTTTTATTATGATTTTGTGTTAACCACACCGTGGTCAGTAATAACCACATCGTGTTTAGCATATTTCCAATTATTGTCTTCTTCGTTTTTTTTTGTTTTACGCGTAATTTTTTGTTTTGTTTCAGTTATTGTATGACTCGAAGATCCAATTATCTAGTACTACCACCATTGGAGGATCCGCAATTAAATTTTTGCAAAAAGAGGACAAAAAAACGGTGAAACAAGCACTTTTGAAAGCTTTAAGAAAACTCACGAAACGAAGGAAGTGGACTACAAGACCGAAACACCCAAATGTGAAGAGAAGTGTGAAACCGAATCAGAAGTAGTGATGGAATACACTGCAAACATATCAATGGAGGAGTACACGATGTGGATGCGTGACGACACTAGCCAGGTCTTATGCAACCCACGATTCCAGAAATAGCAAACTTCAAGCTTAAAGTTCATTTACTTGACCAACTGAAGGACATTAAATTCTACGGGAAGGATCAAGAGGATGCCTACAAGAACATTGATGAGATCAACGACATCGCTGCCTACGTCAACATTCTAAATGTGCCATGCTCCAATGCTACTAAGGATGCTATCGGTTACATTCAAAGGAGTCGAGAAGGATTGTTTGAAGGCGCTCCCTCCAGGACCAATAACAACATGGAAAAGGATGTGTGAAGAGTTTATACATCAATTTTGGCCACCATTGAAATTCGTGAAGTTAAAGAAAGAAATTACCAATATTGAATAACTAGGAGGCGAATTACTTTATGAGGCATGGGAGAGATACAAAGGCATACTAAGAAATTTCCTTCGGAATGATATCAATGTTCAACAAGAGGCTTCCATTTAAGAGAACATGATAATCCTCGTAATAACACGACTTAAGGGATGGTGAACCCAACTTCTGATGATATGGAAACACTAATGGCCAACTTGGATAGCGTAGATCGTAGGATGGCAAAGATGGACCAATCCATCCATGCCATTCGTGTGGGGTGTGATAACTGTAGCGGTCCACATCTAACAAGGGATTGTGACCTTGATGAGAAAGGAAACCAAAAAGCTCAATCACGTTTTTCAAGAGGTGATTGTTATGATGAAGATTGGAGGAAACCCAAAAAGGAAAGGCTACCCTATGATTAGTACAATAAGGCCAAGAAGGATAAGTTCCTGAAAAAGAAAAGAGAGTTTTATCAAAAAGAAGAATCGGTACACGAAAAGAAAACGGATTTTGAAGCAATGCTAGCCTATTATGCATCCGCATCAGAAAAGATGCATGATGAAACTGATGCAGGAATGAGACATCTGCAAGCATTAAGGAGAGTTCAGCAAATTTAAATGAGAAATCAGGAAGCTTCAATCCTCAACATCGAGAAACAACTTAGCAAACTAGCTAAACAATTCAATAAACAGTCGTGGGGCAGACTCCCAAGCAACACCTAGCAAAATCCTAGTGGGGCGCACATCAACGTAGTGAAAATAAGGAGTTGAAAATTTGTCACTCGTTTGACCCCAATTCCTAATGAAAATCCAAAAGTTGTGAAGGAGGTAGTAGAAGAAAACCAAGATAAGTACTCTGATGCATAACCATGGTTGCACAACCACGGTGTGGTGAAGAGAAGACTACGGTGTGTTCTTCGACTGAAGAGAATAAGAACCCTCCAGTTAAGATGAATTAGCCTCCATTTCCATTTACGAGCCGAGCTAGATAATACAAATAAGTTGAAGACTACAAGAAGTTCCTAAAGCATATCAAGGCCCTCCAAATCAACATCCCATTCATTGAGGCAGTGACTTAAATGCTAAAGTATGAAAAGTTCTTAAAACATCTTCTCACTAATAGAAAGAAAATTAAGGAGGCATCTAAAGTGACACTAAACGATAATTGCTTAGTCGATATGTTGAAAATTTTATTAAAGAAGATGGGGACCCGAGAAGTTTAACTTTTCCATGTCAATTTGGGAAGTTAACTTAAGAGTTATGGAGTGAAAAATTCGATTATAAGCTTGATTTTGAAGAGATCTAAGGCAAATCATCTCTACTTTACTTAATTCCTTTGTTATCATCATGTTTACAAAAGTGAATTTTGTTTTTATGCTTGTATTTGCTGAAGTTATGGGCTAAAAACCATAGTCTCATTTATAGTGGAGGATCTTACAACTATGTGTTGATTTTGTGGTTTTGGATTGTGTTGATTTGATTATTATCATGTTAGCCTGTTAAATGAACCTATATATGTTAATGAGAATTATTTTTCTATTAATTACTAAGTGAATTGGGAATGTATTACTATCTTTCTTCATTTCTTGAAACTTATAGTTTTGTAACCATCAAGATTGTATGACTAGTGTTTTGAACAAAACCTAGGATTAATAAGAAAAGTAAGTAAGTTGATGTGTGGGTTATATATGATGACCAACCATATGTAAGTTAATTTAGTCAACCGACTGAATTAATCACCATTACAAGTATTGCATGATTTGAAATTAATACTAGCGAACTTGTTAGTTTAACCAATTGATCAATATTTGAATTAACTTGTTTGCTAAAAAATTAGTTTAGTGAACATTAATCTAATAACATTTGAAATCAGTAACTGATGACACATTAATACATTGTATTTTCCACGAAATCAACCATAAGAGTGAGTGAATTTTATCTAAATGGAAGTCTCTTTAATATTCTTGATTCAAATATGTTCCATCAAGCATAAAGGATAAAGGTTCCTTCAATAATAAAAGTATGGTTCTTATGAGAACCCATGTATGATTTCTAAGGGAATATGTGTATGGTCCCTTTATGGATATAGATAGATGATTTCTATAGGAATAAGAACGAGGATGCCTAGATCAGGTGGATAAAGTTCATTAAGGGGGACAAGATAACAGAGTTCTTTGCAAGAACTTAGATTCAATCTGTGAAGGTATGAAGATAAGTAGATACAGAGACAAATTTCACCAAAGGGAAAGGAAGACATGATAAGTATAAAACACATGAGATGAACAAAGTAAGAGTTAGAGAAAAGCATGCATAAAGTGTAGAGAATAATATAGAAAGACGAGATGAGATAGTGTAAAAGAAAGATAGAAAATTGACGTGAGAGAATATAGGAAAAATAAAGTAGAGAATAGATATAGTAGATAAGAGAAAGATGTAGAGACAAAGATAAAGTATTTTTAGAATATGAGATCAACTTGAGAAGAGGCTAAGAAATAGTAAGAGAAAAAGTGTAGAAGATATAATAACTCACATAACCTAATCAAGAAACATTGTGTAAGAAACATTGTGTCTGATGTTGTATATATGTTTTATGTCTTGCATGTTCATATAGTGGCCATCGTACCAGATGAGAGGACATGAGCACAAGGACAAGAATTAAAGAGTAAATTACTAATTATTGTATTTCTTTGTTGTTCATTTTTAATAGATAGAATTTTATTGTAAACCTATGATTAAATATGTGAATTAAAGTGTTTTAATTTTAGTAGAATTTTGCAATGTAAGAAAAACACTGATATTTTCATTATGTTAGATGTTAGAAAATTTATGTCGTTACAAAATTGATTAAAACAAGTTTTAGGTTCTTAATAAGAGGTCAAAATGGACTTCATTGCTATAGACTATCCCATTAGCAACACAATCCAACCCAAATTTTCTATTGAAAACTAATTTTTCTCTCTTCCAATTGAACAACCTAATCCAATTTAAATTTTCACATACATTAGCAACCCTACTTAATTCAATATGTTTTTAAAAAAAAATATATCTAAAAGCTAATATCAGTATTAGTCTCATATTGTCGGGTATACTTAATTATGTATTTTAGTATCAAATATATATTTTTTAATCAACAAAATATCTATTTTTTATAAAACAAAGTTTATTAAAAATGAAAAACAAAAAAAAAAAAAAAAAAAAAAGAGGAGTGAACTACGCGGTTGCGCTGTACGACCGCTCACTTCAATTCATCTACTTTTTGATCTATTTTAATTCCATTTTTAAGTTTTGGTGGTATTTTTGGTAAGTTGCTCATCAATGGATATAGTCTTAGAATGTGAAGAAGAAAACATGAACAAACTTTCAAAATAGAAAATGATAGGCGGTTGTGCTACAATGATACTAACCTAGATAAATCACACGTTCTTTTGTGTGCCCTGCTTTAACTCCCTATTTTACAATCAGTAAAATGCAACTAAAAATAGAAAGGAAATCAATTTCTCAAGAGTTATATTTGTGGAATGAGCTTTAAGTTATTTTCCACCATTAGCATTCTGATTTGGTTCAACAGTTGCTTCATCATGAGAAAATTCTTCTTGAGTATTACTCTTTCGTATATCATCTTCACTTGCACTGACCATACCAATACTAGTAGTCGTGGACACAATTTCCGTCTTTAATAGTTCATCATCTTCTTTTTTGTACTTGTACTTTATGGCTGAAAGCAAGTAAATTGCAAAATTTATCAAGCTCAACACAGCCAACAACCAATAAAACAAATTCAAATTGTTGTTGTCCAAAATAATCCCATGAATCCATCCTCGTTTGCTTGGTGACACTCTCTTTGTAACAGAATTTACAATATTCACTAACACCGTACTTAGGAAGTACCCAAGAGACATAGATATCCATGTAAAGGAAGTCGCAAGTGATCTCATCCCCACAGGAGCCTCTTTATAGAAAAACTCAAGCAAACCCACAAATGAAAACATATCCGCAATCCCAAAAATACCATATTGGAAAGAGAGCCAAAAGAGGCTAATGGGTTCAAGTGGATTGATTCTTGATTGGTTTCTCCTTTTTACCTCTACGATTCCTGCCACTCCCATAGAGATTGCAGAGAGAACAAGCCCCACCCCAACTCTTTGTAGTTGAGTAATTCCTTGAGGATGTTTGGTGAACCTTTTTGCAAAGGGTACAAAGAAGTACTCATAAATAGGAAGGAGAGCTGACATAAAAACAAGCGGAATTACAGGAATTGACCCTGCGGGGAAGTCAACGCTTCCAAGTTTTTTGTTCATGAAGTTTCCTTGGGCTTGTGAAAATGTTTGTAGTTGGGCTAAGCATGTATTCATGACAACAGTGCTTAGTATGATAGGAAGCATTCTTATTAGGATCTTAACTTCTTCGGCTTGTGTCACAGTGCATATCTCCCATGGTGCAAGTTCACTTGGTTTTGTATCATTCGGAATAATTGCTGCCTTGTCCAACCAACTGCACATTCACACTATCTATCTTAGCGCTTAAGTTTTTTTTTTCCTTTTTTTTTACTTATGGAAAAATACAACTCAAACTCAAATATACCTAAAAGACAATATTTAATTACGTATCTAAACATGGTCTATAAATATACATACGTGAATTCACCCGTACGAGAGAGATTTTTTCCCATCAAGGCCTCATTTCTGCCACTCTCATATAATTCTTCAGTAACTTCTGGTAGTTTTAACTTTCTGTTCTTCATAGCTACTATTACCACCTGCACAAAGTTATGGAAGTTTGCATTAACAAAAAATTATCGTTAATCGTTACACATTATTATTTTTCATGTTTCTTGAATGTGTGTGTGTGAGAGAGAGAGAGAGAGAGAGAACCCGGATAATCGTTAGAATCGGGCTATTTTTAGGAACTTGAATGAGGTAGAATGGTTTCCCCATTAAAAATAATGTAAACCCTAAGAAACTAGAAATAGTAGCCAAGAAAAATCCCCACCACCATCCATGATTAGTGCTAACCCACACAAATCCCATAACACCCACAGCTGCACCCAAGGTGGTGCTCAACACAAGCCAATTAAAATAGGTTCCTTGGGCCTTGAGTCCTTTTGGGTTTGTTGTGTCAAACTGATCTGCACCAAAAGGCGTAAGAGCACCTCTAACACCACCCGCACCTAATGCTAGCAATGCTAAGGAGGTGTAGAACATTACTCCTATACCTCCTTCCATGCAACTCTCCTTCAGACCACAAGGTTTTGGATGTAGATTTGTGTCATGTGCTTGAATTGTCACAATCATGAAAGCCTGCCATCAATCATACATGGTATTATTGATTAGTTGTTATGGATGTTAGCTTACTACAAGGTTATGCTGGATGTTTGCTTACCACTATTTCAATCACTCCAAAAATAAGACAAGTATGGAATCTGGAGATGTAAGTATCAGAAATAAAAGCACCAACAATTGAGAGGAGGAATGTTGTTCCCATGAAGTTTGTCACTGTGTTTGCAGCTCCAGGAATGTTGAAACTCAAATCGTTCATAAAGTATAAGAACATTATCAATATGTTTGATATGAATCCCATGTTCTCCAAAGCCACCAAACCTGTAAATTTATGACGGTATGATAGAGATTGATTGGTGACACAATGTATAATAAAAGAAACCAATGATATCCAAAACATCTCTAATTTAGAAAAGGCAACGTGTTAAATTTCGCGATTAACACATTGTGTTTTGTTGAGACTTGTTCTTATGTATATTTGCAAACGATAAAGCTTTAATTTGATGTCCCATAAAATGTTCATTTATTTATTTTCATTCGTTTACAATTATTTGTTTATCTTTGTTCTTTTATGTTTCTTCACTTACTTTCGTTTAGCATCTTAATGAGCGAACATAACGAACATGAACAAAATAATTTATTAAACAAACGAACATGAACAAAGAAATTCACTCGTTTATGCATTCGTGTTGGTTCATTTGTTTGCTTAAATTTAATCGAATGAACTTGAACAAACTTGGTTTGTGCTCATTCGGTTTGTTCATAGCCTAAAGATGAGTGTTAAAAAGAAAGGCTTTTTGCTAGAAGGGCATTATTTGTTTCATTATTTTTTTGATAAAACTGAAAGGATCCCTCTCAATCAGGTATTAGTTTTATGTAAGATCATTCACTCATATGTTCTTTCTCAATTTTACATCAATTTTGGACCAGAGTAAGTTTCAACTGTGGGAGCTCGATGAAATAATGCATGTATGAAAGAAATGGAAGGTGGAATGACAAATTTACAAGTGATTTTGGAAAAACGTGAGTTGGTGATCCATGGGATGCAAACTAATTCTGATTCGTATCAATGGAAGGAACCTTACAAGCGATCATGAAGCAATTAACTAACATCAATGAAAATCTAAATTATTATGGATTAGAGTGGATAGAAAACAGGATGATTAAGATCAATAAATCACAATAGAAATGCATAAACGAGATCATTTTTCATGATTAGTAGAAGGAAGCTATACATATCGACATTTAATTAATGGTGTGCAAGAGAAAGTTAGAGATGAACTTAGAAGGTAAATTGTGTGATCAGTTTAATGGTGTCCCACTCAGGTCTCTAGATCTTCTTTAGAACGTACATTATGTAAGCAATTCTTACAAGCTAAAAAAGAGGAATAGTTGATGATTAGAAACAAATTTTGTGTCTTTAGTAACTCCATTAGAAGTTATAGCCGGTGAAATCTTTCTAAGCTAATTCCTTAATGGTGTGCAAGAGGAAATTAGGGAATGACCTAAGACTTTTAAACCCAAAAGGGTTATGTTAAACTATGGTTGTAGCTGAAAAAGGTGTAATAAAAATAAACTAAAGTTGTTTAACAAAAAACCAATAACTAATATAGAAGAAATATAGAAGGTGATAGAGAGGATAATCTTAACACAATGAAAAATATAATTCAACACCAATGGAAAATAAAAGTGGAAATCTGTTTAGAAAACTGTAACGTCCCGATTCCAGGTATAAATTTAATTAAAGAATAATTTGTCTTATGTCCTACTCGGCGAGTTGGTTGCCCTACTCACCTAGTAGTAGTGGGATTGGAACGCGAGTTTAGTGACCTACTCGGCGAGTCCACCAAGGGACTCGGCGAGTAGGAGCTGGCAGATGAAACCCTAAATTATGGGGTTTTACACCCTATTTAAAAGATCATTGGCCTCCACCAGCCTCCCCTTATGCCTCTTGTCTCTCTCAAACCCTAAAACGTGTGTGTGTGTGTGTGTTCTTTGGTGTCCAAGCTCGAAGGAGTAACTTTGGAAGGAAGCATTTGAAGAAGAAAGGAAAAGCAAGGCTAGGAACTCGGGATTGCATCAGGCATCACTCTCTGGAAGGTAATAAGCTATTCCCTTAAGCTCTTTTCACTTTGAACCTCCCTTGGATGGGTGTTATGAAGGACTCTCCATGTTTAAGCTAAGATTTGAAGTTATAACTTCAGATCTGGACTTCCCTTGACCTCTAGATCCATAAAGTTCCCAGATTATGCAAGGTTGAAACTCTACCAAGGTGTAAAACTCCATTGAAGAGCTTAGATTGATCATTTCGGACCTTTAGAGCCTTGCATGTACGTAAAGATTGCAACTTTACGTAATAAATGTGCCTTAGGAACTTGGATCTGTAATTTGGGGCCTTGCCATGGCTTAAAGAGCATCTGCATGGATTAAGATCTGCATGGACTCGGCGAGTTGATTAAGGGACTCGGCGAGTCCATTGAAGATGGCCATAAACTCGACGAGTTGGATGAACAACTCGGCGAGTTCGTTGAAGATTGCCTTGAACTCGGCGAGTGTTAGAAAACTTGGCGAGTTGGCTAGGGTTTCTCCCAAAATCTTGGCCGTATATGAACTCGATGAGTGAAGAGGAGACCTTGGCGAGCAGGTCGAGGATTCCACGACTTCTCGAACTCAGGAAAAACTCGGTGAGTCGGAGACCTGCACTCAGCGAGTCGAGTCAACATGGACTGTTGACTCTAACTGTGGACTTTGACTTGGACCAAGGGGTTGACCAATTGAATTCTGTGGGATTGGGAGATTTATGAAAAAGGTTGTGTAGTACTTTTAGTTGGTGAAGTTCTTGTTGGACCCGAGAGTTGAGCTTTCTTATTTCCGACGATAGTTGCGAGGTGAGTTATCCTCACTATACTAAGGGGTCTAAGGCACTAAGGCCGACCCATTGCATTTGATATCCTAGTAGTTATTGTTATGTAGAGTTTGAGATAGTAATGCATGTCAGTTGATGTGCTAGTTGGGTAGATCTGTAGGACTACCTGTGATACTGATTGATTACCTGTGTGCACATTTATTTGTTACATGTCGACATGTTATGTGGGGTGGGTTGAGGTTGTACTGCTCTGTGCGGTAGCCAACAAACCCGAGAGCATTCCATATACGAGCTGAGGGCCCGGTAGGCATTCCAGACTCGTACTGAGGGCTCGATGGCATTCCAGATACGAGTTGAGGGCCCGGTAGGCATTCCAGACTCGTACTGAGGGCCCAGGGGTAGTCCAGCTTGTAAAGATGTGGACCCAGTGCACGTTTGTTCTGTTTTGATTGATATGATATGTTAATGTTGATATTTCTATGTGAACTGTATGTGTATCGGTATTTTGGGGGTAACTCACTAAGCTCTCGGGCTTACAGTTTCAGTTTATTGTTTCAGGTACCTCTGGGGATTGCGGCAAGGCTAAGGCTTGATCGTACAGCTCCTCCTATTGTGTTATGTTTTTGGGAAAACTCTGATATAAATGTATTTTGAAAACAAAGTTGTAATGTTTTGATAGATTTTTCGTGTTTTTAAAAAATTTAAAATTTGGCTTAAATATTGAGTGTTACAAGTTGGTATCAGAGCCTTGGTTTGAGTGAATTGGAGGAACATTCGTGTGAATCTAGTCTCAAATCAAGGAAAGATTTTCAAAATGGTTTTAAATGGTTTTCAAATAAGTAAAGGAGACCTCAACGAGCAAGTCGTTGTAAAAATCAGTTCATCTAATTTCATATCCATAGAATTAGTGGAAAAAATTAAGAATTACTCTTACCAAAAGGTAGAATATAGTTGTGGGGAAGAGGCGTCCATTGGTGGTTAACATGTTTGCAAAGAAGTGACTATATGGAATGACCATTTGTGGGATCGGTTTTGGTTGCTTGTTACCAACCAGTTTCGTAGGGGTGTGAAATGTCTTGACACTTACCGGTCACATGACCAATGTAACATAAAATAGGCTAATACTAACAATCTTGTTATGCCTTAGAACGAAATTTACACTAACTTTCAAAACCAATGGACAACAGGGGAAAACGAGTCTACTTTGTTAAAAAAAACTCACCTGACTTTCCAAAACCACATGGTAAAGCCTTTTAAATTCATACATGTTAAGGAAGTTATCAAAAAAAAGTTTTAGGTGGAAGGAAACTGCAACATTGGAAATTTTTCCAAGTCTAGTAAGTAAAAAATTTTATATTCGAACTCACAATAAATGTCATGGGACGGTCACATATGTGTCAATCTTAATATTGACAATGACATTGAAGAGATATAATTGTCTCTTTGTCCCATGGGAAGGGACAAAGCAAAAGTAAAAAGGAAATTAAATATGAAATCTTCAAATTTATCAGTAGGTATACCCGATTCGACGAAATGATGTTGCAAATGACAAAATTAAATATGAACTTTGATATGCATATATATCTGAAACTATCCGACTCACAAAAACGATGTTGTTAATGCAAAATATGAATCAACTTAACGATGAAGATCAAGCAGCGGCCTTAGTGGTCAAAACGACAATTAAGGCTAAATATAAATTGTAAATTTTTAATCTACAAATTAACTTACGTCTTTTTGAATTTTTATTTACATAATTTTAGTTTCTTGTTATTTTCTATTTTTAGTTTTTATTTATATAATTTTCAATCTCGTGATTAAAGAACTTTAGGTTTATGTTTAAATTAATATTTATGGTTTTTATAAAGGTTATAAAAACGCTTTAACTAGTGGGGGACTTGGGTTAATGAATTAATCGTTAGACGGACACTAATCAAGACTTTAATTGCTAAAAAATTAAATACAACTAATATCATAACAAAGTTCATAAATATAAGTAATATCATAACAAAATATATTAATATGATTAATACAACACTATAAATTTCTTAAATAGTTTCTATTAAAATAAAACTTATTCAAAATGTTTTTTTTGTTTGTTATTGTTTCGCTTATTGGGTAGCCATGGATTAAAAACTAGACACCTTCTAGTTGGCCAATGATCACCTAAGGACTAATAAGAGATTAATCAGTACATAGTTGATATTTTTACAATACTAGTTATTATAAAATGTTACATTTTTTTATTTTGAAAAATAAATAAATAAATAAATAAACTTGAATGACATAGATGACACCAAACCTACTTGTTAAAGGCAAAAAAAAAATGATAAAAAATGAAAAATATGCTTATATGGGGCCTATATGCCACCAAATATTGGTAGACATGGATG